TTTCCGTTTGGCTGAGTTCTCTGACAATAACAAATAGCCCAGCTGCGGCCTTCTGCCTGCCAAGATGGCGCCGCTTCGATTTGAACTGTTGCACCCCGGGAGAAGTGATGTCAACTCCCGGAGCTCTACAGGCTGAGACTGCTGGAGAACATTCTGACCCCTTTCCACACTCTACTACTTTCTTCTACAATTTCTCTTTTAATTGCATTATTTTCTGCTATTTCACCTGTTCATTTTTATTTTGTTTTGTTTTCTCTTCAGAAAAAGCTACAATGGTGTTCTGCTAAGCTGTGTTGGCTTCATAGAGGGGGCCATCTGCTGGCACACTGGCACTCTTAACCACTTAAACCTTCTCCCTCTCCTGGTAATTAACATTTTACTCTCTATGACACTGGATGTTCTACTACTAGTTCACTTGTTGAATTAATTATAGATTCACTAAGATAAAGATAATAAATTCTATTTCTTACTAAATAGAATATTTACTAAGAAATCACAATGTTGCCATAGAAACACTTGGTATATATGTTGTATGTGTGTCTGTGTGTGTGGATGTGTGTGTGTGTGGGTGGGTGTTGGTGCGTGCGTGTCTTCTCATTCCCCAGTGAGTCATGGTGGATGGCTGCTTATGCTGAGCCAGAATACTTGGAAGGTTTCTTCCTGTTAAAAGGGTGTTTTCCTCTCAACTGTCACTACATGCTTGCTTAGTATAAGGATTGCTGTAAAGACATTGAATCTAGTCAGTGACTCCATGCACTTTGCTGGGTTCCTTACATAGGAAACTTTTTACTGATTGGCTTAATGACCTGGGGTCTCATTTATCAAACATTGCGTAGAATCCTTACTAAAACTGTACTTGAGCTCAGCAAAAAAAAAATGTACTTACGCCAAGTAGTTTTGTGATCTATCAAACACGGAGTACGCACAGCTGCACGCGATCTCCGCTTCATAAATCAGAAATTATCTAGAAAGGTTCTCAGCTGCTTTTTAGTCACATCCCGCCCTCACCACGCCCACTTACTGCCATAAATAGTCAATGCAAAGTGCCATAGATCAAGGCAGATCAAGGAAGCACAATTTCACAGAAGCAAAAATTTAGGTACCTGTGGGTGAGGTGGAGAAATTAAAGGAAGTGCTTTTGCAAAACAAATAAGAGAAAATCCACGGAGTGACACAGCATTGCTGAGGCTGTCAATGTTGTGATTTCTTCAAAGAGATCTGTAGCGGATATAAAAAAAATGGTCCAATCGGGATTCGATTCCCAGACTCCCAGGTGAAAGTCACGCATGCTAACCAGTCACCCAAACCGAGATCTCCCTTGTCCAAGTAGTCACGGCGCATGATCAATCAGGTCACAGTGACAGGACACACACTGTCACAGATGCCTGACATTCTGTCACAATCTCGAAAATATCTTTGAAAAAATTCAATTCACATCTTAAAATCCTCTATCAATCTGTTAATTGTTTAAACTTTCTGGTTAGGAAAAGAATCGCCACACAGCTGCTTCTGCCTATTCTGGACTATGCTGACATTATGTATCAGAACACTTCATCCTCCTGCTTGCACTCTGTTGATGTTGCTTATAATAGTCTCTGTCATTTTGTTCTTCGTTGTCCATTTAGGACACATAGAAGTGTGATGTATCGACAGTTGTCCTGGTTCGCATTTGCTGTCAGGAGACAGTTTCACTGGTTTCAGTTATTTTCTAAAACTTTTTACTTTAAATATCAGGATTATCTTAACCCTTTGATGCATAATGGTCACTACAGTGGACAGGTACTCAAAATTGTTATTTCTTTATTTTTGCTATTAAGCACAGCTGTTGAAGACTTTATTGCATGTGAGCCCCTCCATTTGGACTTCAGTAAGTCAAGCCACCATATTTCATGTTCAGAATGCACACTGTCCACTGAGGTGGACGTGTAATAAATTATTTGTAAATTAACAAAATGTTACAAAAATATTTGTTGAAAGTTGTTTCATTCACACCTGAAGATGAATGAAAAAAATTGTTAAAAAAATCATGGGTGAAGATTTCATAATTCATGCATCAGAGGGTTAAAATACATTTAATTCCCTATAATTCACATTATAGCCTGTGGCATAATGACCAGCTCTTTTTATGTTGTTCCTAGAGTGAAAAGAGAGGTAGGGAAAAATGATTTTGATTTTAAGTCTCCATGTGATTGGAATAATCTTCCTTTATCTATTCGTTGTTTATCATCATTCACTACTTTTCGAAAGGCTCTGGTCGATCATCTTCAGGAATAATTGTCTATATGTTACTAATTGTATTTGTTCAACTGGCTGTTGCTTTTGTTTTGTCATTGTTGGGATCGTGTAGTGTGGGGTGAAGTATTGTGAGCCTTTGAGGGTGTGCGTGTGTGTATGTCTGTAAATGATTTGTAATGTTTTGATTTTGATTTTTGCTCTGCTGTCTTGCTCTTAATTTTTGTTCTTCTTTTTGTGGTAAAGGAGGACACACTCGAAAACGAGATGTTTCATCTCAAGTGGTTATAGAAGTATGTTTAAATAAATAAATAAATAAATCTGTCCCCCTGCTGATATTCTGCATTCCGTATTCTGCGCTGTGTAGGTGTGTGTGCACGCGCATGTGTGTGTGTGAGTGTGAGCGCATGTGTGTGTGTGAGTGTGTGTGCATGTGTGTGTGCGCGCACGCGCGTGTGTGTGCATGTGGGGGGTCTTGTTCTGCGTGAAAATGAAGCAGTACAAGTGATAATGCTGCAGGATTGCATAATTTTATCCTTCTCAGCAGCAACACTGCAGGTGCTCTCTATGTCCAAAATGTGCGTAAGCACAGTCCTTAGTCAACTTAAAGTTGCGCACATTTTTCCGCTAAGTTTTCTTTTATAAATCCCAAAGTTTGAGTGGAAAGTTGCTTACGCAGTTTTCCAACCCCGTTTTGTAAGCAAGCTTGACAAACAAGGCTCCTGAACTGTATTGGACTGTTTACTTTGTGAAATGCCTTGAGACGACTCTTGTTGTGATTTGGCGCTATAAATAAACTGCACTGAATTGAATTGAATTGAATTAAGACATCTGAAATGTTCATTCTAGATAGTAGGAATCATTCAGTTGAAACATCTTTGACATTATCGATATTATAAAATGTAACTGTGATTTAGAACATAAAAGTAATGTTACAGTAACTTTGCTTAATTTTACAATGGGATAACTGATTTACTAACTCAAGTACTTTTTGTAAAAAGTAATTTGTAACCAAAAAAATTTTCAATTTTTATTGTAAGATGCTCAACACTGGTGGTTTATAAACTTGTAGAAGTACTTTGAAATCAATTCTGTAGTTTACTGGTAACCAGTGTAGAGATTTAAGAACAGGAGTGATCTGCTCAGTTCTCTTGGTTTTTGTTGACTCTAGCAGCAGCATTCTGAATAAGTTGCAGTTGCTTCACAGCTTTTATGGGAAGACCAGACAAAAGACCATCACAATAGTCTAGCCTGCTTGAGATGAACACACGAATGAGTTTATCTACGTCCTGTCTGGACATGAGACCTCTGAGTCTAGCTAATTGATGAAGATTTTAAAATGCTGATCTAGTTATAGGCTTAATGTGACAAGTAAAGCTCGGGTCTGAATCAATGACACCAAGATTTCTAACCTGGGTCTTTGTCTTTATTCCTCTGGAGCCAAGTTGAGCAATAACCTCCACCCTATCCTTATTTCCGAAGACAATAACGTCAGTCTTGTCTTGGTACAACTGGAGGAAGTTTGACTGCATAAAGTCATTGACTTGATCCAACCAGTGTTAATAAATCATTTTAATGTTCACTCAAAGCATAAATGAACCTTATATTTATTCAAGACATAAATGTGAAACCCAATTAAAAATTATACAATTAATGAGTAAATAAATAATTAGAAACATATATATATATATATATATGTTTCTACTGCTCACCATTTTAAAAAAAAAGTTTATATCTCCATGTTTTTTTTTGAGAAAACAGCAACAGGTGAATTAAACTAAAAAATAAAATTCTGAAATGAATAAAATAAAAAAAATAAATGTTTGTGTTTCCCAAAATGTGTTAACTCTTTCAATGTCACAATTAAAGTTGTCAATTGCATTTTTTAACGGGGCGGTCCTGGAACGAGCCCCCACACCCTGAGAGTAAACATCACGGAGCTAAACCTGATCTTCACCCTTGTGTGTCATCAACACATTCTCACACCCGAAGCGGCTAAACCTGATGCGGGTTGACCAAGCATTTTTTTCATACGTCACGTGATCAGGAAGCAGAAAATCCATGAATTAGAAAATCATTTTGGGACGCTGCTGTGAAAAAAGCGAGGCACTAACCAGAAAAGCTTCTGCTGCTCACACTGCGACAACGGATCGTGAAAGAACAGACAATACTAGAAACACGCTGATTCTTCCTGATGTAAGAAGTGAGTCTCCTCTTTGTTTTGGTATTGTTGGTGTTTACATGATCATAGAGCACAATGTTCTGTGACTCTTCAAAAAACTGTAAAAAAATGCTGGCAGCCGGGGGCTTTCTGATCAGAAAATGGCTTGCAGTTAATGAGTTAAGTGTTTTTGTTTTTTAATACAAAAGAATAAAAGAGCAATATAATGCATCATCACAAGATAAACTCTGCCAGAGTTACCACATGGAACAATTTGGTGTGCCACCCCAAAAATTTATTTGACCCCATCTGGCCACCTTTAGCTAATTTTTCTGGGGGCGCCCCTGCTTATAAAACCGTGTTTTGAGCCTAAACTGTAGAATACATGGGTGCCGCGGAACGGACGGTACAAAGTAAGTTATTTATCGTCCGTAAATGTTTGGTGCGTTTGCTCCTGTCCGATGGTGGATGAGACTGTAGTGCTTCTCTTATTTGCATCCTTCCTGCGCGCTGGATCTCACCGCTCCCTGGGGTGTGTCTATGGAAGCGCCTCTCCTCTCTGGTCTGCGCGTGTAGTGCGCGCGCGCGCTGCCGCTGCTGTTGCCGCCTCCTCCCTCTGCCTCCTATCTGCTGCAGAGCTTACCCAACACGCATCTATGTGCTTGTTCTCTTGTTTTTCCTTTTCCAGTGCACCGGATTATTCCTCCTTTACGATTTCCTTCTCTTTTTTCCTTCTTTCTAAATGAGTCAGCGCGCGCCTCCGTGATCCGTGGAGTTTGAAGGTGGAAACATGCCACTGTTTGGAGAATTGAGATGAACCGGAGGAGAGGAGAGTACCGGATGGGATAAGGAGCCCTGGAACCCACATCACTCACCGCAAACCGAGCAAGGCTCCCCTCCCATCCTCCCCCCTCCCTCAGTCTGCAGCCTCCGAGAGGCAGGCGCCGCATCATTTTTCAGAGCAGCTGCCTCCCCCCTCCTCCTCTCTCCCCTCTCACACACCCCATCCTCGCTTCTCTCCGTCACCCCTTTTGCTGCTCCGTGGGAATGCAGCGAACGGTCAAGGAATTGTAGTCTTTTTTTTCCTCTTTAATTTCTGAGGTTTGACGGACGGACAGCTCGGTAGAAGCGCGGCTGTCATCAACACGGGGACGCAGAGTGAGGTGGTCAGCACAGATTGGACCTGGATCACTTGGATTTAGCCCGGCAGCAACAAACATCACCCCCATGTCTCACATCAGATCCGCTCTGCCGTGACATCTGCGGGTTTGGGTGTTATTGGATTTCTGCCAGCTGCTGGGGTGCTTTTAGAGGCAAAGTTGGAACCAGCCTCCAAACACAACTGAAAAAAAAAACATCTTCTTCTCTCCACATAACAACTCATGTGACATCTAAAAAAGACCAAGAGGAAGGAAGCGGCATTTGGTTTGTATTTTAAAGCCATCACGCAACTGATAATCAACCAATTCACTGAGCAGATGCCCAGGTTGTTAGTCTTTGCACGCGCACATGGATTTACAGCTCCAGCCTGAAGCTCACGCAACGGATCGATATCTCTCTTGCGTTTCTTCTTTCTTTGCGACGCCTTTTTTTCTTACCACGGGGAGTGAAGCATCCTGGGATTTATCACCGCTTCGTTAGCGCCAAAGTACAGTGACGAGCCCCTCCCTCAGCCCGCTCTCCCAACCCTTCTTGTTCACCTGTCTATAACCTGTATGCTCCTGGGAAGTATGGATTTCGTCGTGTGTCTGTGTGTTTACATGTGCGTGTAAGTGCGTGTGCGTGAGTGTGTGTGTGTGCGCACGCGCTTGTGTTTGGCTTCTTGTCCGCCAGAGGGAGTGTAGGTTATGCTGCTTGGGAATGCATTTGCCAGCTTTTAATTAGAACGTGACTGAGTGTGATAAGTCTGCTCTGCTTGTGGGTGGTAGTGAGTTTTACATCCGTTCATGCATAGGTTAGCTTGTGAGTGTATATATATTTAAGATGCACATCACTACTTCTACACCATGTCCCTGCATCATCTGGCCACCTGTTTGACCTCCCTAACCCTCTAAAAAAAGCAAAAAGGCAAAATGAGTGACCGCTCTGGCGCAAGCACTCTAACACCACTGACGCTGGAGGAGCCAGGAGCTGAGCAAGCATCTCCTCGAGCCCTGGGCCCACTTCGCTGTGGCCCATGTGCCGTGTGGCCTCGCCAGCAGACCTGGCTCTGTGCTGTACCCCTAGTCATGGGTTTTGTGGGACTGGGACTAAGTCTCATGTTGCTGAAATGGATTGTAGTGGGCTCTGTCCAAGACTATGTTCCTACTGATTTGGTGGACCCGAAAGGTAGCATTGGTCATGACCCAATATTTCTCTCCAAACCCAGTGCCATGCCCAAGGGGCCTGATATTTCCATGGCAACCACCACTTTAGCTGCATCCACAATGATTCTGGTGTCCACCACCACGCCTCTTGCAGCGGATGGTACTGCTCCAGCACCAAGAACTCGATCAGGTCCACCAGCAAATCATTCAGCCAATGGCAGTAATGCCAGCGGAGATGGCAATCGTGCCAGGATTACCAGGGTTAACTGGACTGTGGCCACCACCTCTGCTACACGCTCCACCCGACTTACCCCACCACCAGGCGTTAAGGAGGTCACCCCTCGCAGCACTGTCAGAAAAGGAAGCAGCACTGCCAACGGGCGTAATGGAGCTGCTAACTCAAAGCCAGGACAGACTTCTCCTACCATCACCACCACTGCTTCAACTACCACCACAGCTACTGCAAAGAGCATCCCCAAGGCCCAGCCAACCACCTCTCAGCCCGCGGCTCCAATGAAACCCACGTCACGCTGGAATCACGGGCGTCCGGGAAAGGGCCCGGCCACCCGCCCACACCACCGCTTCAGAACTCGTAAGTTCACATTTTGGGTTAATGTTGTTGTATGAGTGAGTGCAGTTGCACGAGGTTACCAAATGAGCTCTTGGGCCTTTTACGATTGTAACAAACTGTCTTTGTACCTTTTCCATGCTTTCTAGCTGATTTGGTTATAGCTTATTCTCTGAGAATACATTTTCTATTTTTATCGACATGGAAAGTGGATACTCCAGTAGCTTAATATTAATCATATTCATTAGAACAAGTTGATATCAGGGGATATTCTCAGAGTTTCACCCCTTTCATCTTTATCTTCCACTTCTGCACTAATCCGATAGGAATCTTACCTCCAGAGGAGTTTTCTTTCTCTTTTTTTCTTTCCCAGTGGTTAAAGTACCATTGAAAACAAGGCATCATCTCAGATTATACTTTTTTTTGGCTGCCAGGCTGATAAAGCTCTGTGATGTGATCAGGGACATCATATTTATGCCATAAGACACAAATGGCAGTAGCGTGTAAGGTGGGTAAAGGGTTAGCACTCACCTCCTGGCTTTAGGAGTCAGATCTAGCAAGGCCACATATCCTATTTAGCAGAATGTCGCAGGTACTGCTTTACACTGCAGGGAGATAGGGGGGCTCACGGGGAAGCAAGATGGATACAGGGAAGAGAATAAGGTATCAGAGGACAAGTGGAAATTGAATAGAAATGGGAGTAAAGGAAGAGAAACCCTTTGAAAAACAGCAAAGTTAAAGAGGATGGCGAATGAAGGACTCGAATGCGAGGAGCATAACAAAGCAGGAGAATCAAGAGTGGGAGCTGCAAGGAGAGAGAAAAAAGCAGATGGAGAGGGCTAAGTAAGGGAAAGGCTTGAGGGATAAAGCAGGGGAGCTGTGAATTTTGCATATTTTGTATTGTGTGAAGGAAGAAGACTTGGAGATAGTTAATTCCACAAAGGACATGTTTTCAACATCCAGCAGAATTTCCTCTGAAATGTGGGTGGGGCAGGATGTGAGTGTCGTGAACACGGCTGGGTTGAAATGACTTTCTAGACTCTGTCAGTCACATTTTTATCCAACTTCTTATGATTGGATTCATCATGGGACAGAATTAAAAATAGAATCTCATTTTCCACGAAAACTGAAACCTTCAGGTACGGATAACGCATGTTCCGGTGTACTCCACACTACCCCTCTTGTTTATCAGTTGGATGTATCAGTGATATTGATTTGCACCAACATGCCGTGATCAAGTGACATATTCTTCATCTCTAGGCTAAATATTTTCAGCCAAGCTGGTGCTTTATGCCCATAGCGGGTCTCAGACTCCTCCTGCAAAATAATCTGCTGCTCCAGAGTCAATTACATCACTAGCCAAAGAGCTGCCAAACTGTTGAAATCTGCCAAAGCGAGCAGCCCCCTTGTGTGAACATCAGGAAGCATCTGTTTGGTGCTGTACACTGTAAAAGGCCACAGCTCTTCCACACGCTAAAGCGTGCTCACTGAAGCTGTTCTGTTAATAAAAGCTTTCTAATATAAAATACATTTTTTTACTGAAGGCTTGTGTTTCTGACAAGTCTCCAGGCTGGCATCACTAGCACAGTTTTGGTGCATATCACTACAGTACCGAACATAAATCTGTTAAACTCATGGAACCAATGGGAGACCATTTACAAATATATCATATAGATTTAAATAAAAAAGAAGATTTAATTGGTACAAAAATGCATTAACCACTCACCGTCTGAGCTGAGTTTCTAGCAAATGCTACAACAGTTTTTTTTCTTTAGCAGTAATCAAATCTGTAAAAGTCTTTGGCCTGGAGTCAAAGTTACGCCATAGCAACAAGAAGCTCTTTGCCGAGGCATGATAGTAACAGCTAAAATGAGTTACTCTTGTAAGTCCAGTTTCCTTCATTTGAACCCTTTAGGATTACTCTGGTAAAATGACTCCTGCAGAACAAGTTGCACTTGACATAACTGATCTTGTTTCCAATTGATTCCTGCAATTTCTTAAAAAAAAAAAAACTCTGAGCACGATCTCACTATCTTTATAGGAATTTATCCTTTCTGGATGAGAGGTGTCATCATTTCTTTGCATGGACATTGTTGTTTTGGTGGTAAAATTCTGAAAGTGCTTGAAACATTAATAAAGACAAATGTGGGTAAGATACCCGGTCAGTATCAGACATTTTTATAATCAAGATGTTTAATAAACTTTATCAGTGGCTTCAAACCTTTTAGTTTTTCAACCACAAAATAAAATGTCAAAGGCTGAAGACCCCAGATATTGCTAGTTTTGCCATAAAAACCTTGCATGTGGGACGACCTTTTCAACTATTATATTCATTTTCTAAATTTTTTGTCAAAAGACACTGACTCTGGTTTGCAAGGTCAGTATTTATTTCCGATTCTTGTATAGCGCTGGCCTGCTGATGCAGATTTAGCTCTATTTCCACTCATTTCAAACAATTACAACTGACAGAATTCTGCATTTTAAATGATTTCTGATCAACTTTAAGTAGTGTTTTTTACAGGAAAGATTTGTTATTGCTGGAGTGAATTAGCTCTCAACAATAGTAGGATCATGGACCCCCACCACCACCACCACAAACAAATAAATAAAATTCAGAGTTTTGAAATTCAGATAGGATGACCATGCTGAATTTGTCATTTTTGAAGTTAGATACCAAAAAATTACAACAAGAAAACTAAACCCCAAATAGGCCTTGATCCATAACTACTGGCATATTTAGAATTGGAAAGAAATTAAGGTAAAATTCTATGATTGTCAATAGTGGTTTCATTTGATGCAAATTTCTCTTTTTGTTTAAATCATAAAAAAGTCATTTTTATTTAACTAAAACATCTCTTTTGGTTTTGATTTGAATTTGTCTGACTTTCATTCTATGTTTGATAGAGCTTTAGAGTTGTATAATGTTCCTTATTTAAAGTAATACACAGAAAATGTTTTTCCTGGTGATGAAATGCTTTGTAAATCATGGCTTCAGCAGCATTACTCTACCCACAGCCAGCTTGCCTCTTGTTTTATGATGTGTGCTAACACATAGTCTCTGGTTTCAGGTAATCTATATAACAAATACTTCAAGAGATTTCAAAATTGTTCCTTTTTTTTCTTCACTTCTAGTCATTAAATGAGTCTCTGTGTCCTTAAAGACTATCAAGCTCTGTCTGTTGGGAATTGAGACATATTTTACCTCATCCTTTTGTCTTCCTTCTTCCTCTTTTCCCCCACTCTCCCTGTTTCCCTGTGGTTATTGTGTCAGCTCTCTCTGTCATTGTATTCCACCATCTATTTTTGCTTTGCTTTTGTGCTTTCTCTCTTCTTTCTACGTAGCTTCTCAACTAACGTTTATGAGCATATGGGCAGTTGCACAAAAACTGGCACACTCGTGGACACAAAAACAAACGTTTAGCATGTGTTTGTGTCCAACTCATGAATCTGTCATTTGGTTTTCTCCGTTTGAGATACCCGACTCCACTCTTACCCAAGCCCCATTGGCTCAGAAGTAGGGACAAAACGGGTGAATGAAGCAGTGGACAATGAATGCCTGTTGGAGAAACCACTGGGCGCTATGTTGGCTCTCGGCCCATTCGACTCTCTTCTCAGCTGTGAGGAATCTTCCTTGGTGAAAAGTAGTTGTAATTCCGTGCACACATAACTAGCCCATTTCCAGCCCTTGAATAAGCAGTCACAGTGAAATTTTTTGTCAACTGATTCAAAGATGTTTTTGTTCTTGAGTGAAATCAGTGGCTGTTTCTGAGAAACAGCTGAGTCAGTGGGCTCCCTAATACGTGGGAAGTGCCACATTTTGCATTGACACCTTTTAGCACAAAGTGAATATTGTCCAGCTGTGCCGGAGTGTAAAAGGGAGCAAATGCATGAAAGCTATCAAGGTTGCAGTAAATCAGCTGACCAAAACCAACAGGTATAGTTTGAACAACTGTGCAGTTACATCATCAACATGGACACGAGTGTGCTGCTGTTGAATTATGGTTAAAAATAATAGTTTGATTCGTTGGTGTATTAATAACTAGTCATTAGTCTTTTTTTTTAATTAATCTTTTGATTCTATCTCACTGAATATATTCATTGCATTCATCTCTACCATTCTTTGAAACAATTTAACCTAAAAGACTTTGAGCTGAGTTGAGCTGAAATGTTTTGGGTTGTTTATAAGCAGGAGTCAAGTGAAGAAGGAGATTAACAATGAACTGAGGCAGTGTGAGAGAGTTGTGCGTAAAGGTCCTCTAAAGGAAGTCTTGGCTTGCCTTTTGTTTTAGGGTTTCAAAATTGAGTGGAAAAGACCAAATTTAAATTTATAAAACAACAAATATGACTTTCTAAATTTATCTTGCAACAGAGATATTTAAACAGAATACAAATATCTTATTTTAATTCTAACAGGTTTTCTTTGTTTCCTGGACACTAACTCTGGAAAGACACGGTAACACTGTAACACAACATTAAGCAGGTAGGGATTCAAACACAACAGATAAGGTATGATTTTTATGGACACAATTTCCCGTCACTCTTTCTGAGAAACCAAGGCAGAACTCCATCTTACTGGACAGCTTGAGATTTCACCACCAGTAAACGTGTTGTGTTG